CTCTCCCATTCCCTACCCCCCTGGCACCCCCAAACCCCCTCCCCTCCACCCTCCCCCAAAGCGGGGGTGACTCCGCTGTCCCCGGGGGGGGGTCCCGGCCCTGTCCCCACCTTGGCCTTGTCCTGGGCCAGCATGTGCAGCTCCCTCTCGCCCAGCCAGGCCTCGGCGGCCGCGGCGTCGCGCAGGAAGCGCTGGGCGGCCAGGGCGGCCTCCAGGCGCCTCTGCCTCCTCGCCGCCTGCTCCCGCAGCTCCCTCCAGGCCTCCCGCAGCGCCGGGACCCCCCCGGGGACACCCCCGGGCACCCCCGAGTCGGGGACCCCCGTGCCGGGCACCCCCCGCTCCAGCAGCTCCGTCACGCGGCGCTCGCGGCCCTGCAGCTCCTTCTGCAGGGTCTGCGGGGGTCAGGGGGGGTCAGGGGGGTCTGTGGGGGAGTTTATGGGGGGGTTTATGGGTTCATGGTGGACAGCATGGGGTCTAGGGCGTCTGCGAGGGTCGTGGAATGAGTCCTGGGGGGTCACAGGGGACACGGGGGGACATTTGGGGACCCTCTGACTCACCTCGTTCTTCTGGAGCAGCAGCTGCACCGAGGGCAGGTCCTTGCCGTGGTCCGTGGACGTGGCCAGGGCCTGGCGCTCCTGCACCCACAGCTGGGGACAACCAGGGTCAGTGGGGACATTGGGGACGCGGGGGACACCGGGGTCAGTGGGGACATTGGGGACATCAGGGACATTGGGGACATTGGGGACATCGAGGTGATTTGGGACATTGGGGACATTGGGGTCATTGTTGTCACTGGGGACATGGGGGCGGACATTGACATTGGTGACATTGGGGACATCAAGGTGATTTGGGACACTGGGGATACGGGGGTCAGTGGGGACATTGGGGACATTGGGGACATTGGGGGACATTGGGTGTCCGGGACAGGGATGGGGGAGACTCAGGGACTGGGGGTCGGGAGCAGTCATGGGAGGAAGAATTTGGGGTTCAGAGATTTGGGGTCAGAGATTCGGGGTCAGGAATGGGGAGGGGGTGTCAGAGATTTGGGGTGGGGACATTGGGGTCAGAGATTTGGAGTCAGAGATTTGGAGTCAGATATTTGGGGTCAGGAACAGGGGAGGGGTCAGATTTGGGGTCAGGAATGGGGGGAGCGGTCAGAGATTCGGGGTCAGAGATTCGGGATCAGGAATGGGGGGTCAGGAGAGATTTGGGGTCAGAGATTTGGAGTCAGAGATTTGGAGTCAGATATTTGGGGTCAGGAACAGGGGAGGGGTCAGATTTGGGGTCAGGAATGGGGGGAGCGGTCAGAGATTCGGGGTCAGGAATGGGGGGTCAGGAATGGGGGGTCAGGAATGGGGGGTCAGGCACGGGGGACCCCAGGTGTCAGTGCCACCCCCCGAGGTGGGGGGGTCCCCCTCACTCACCAGCTCGTCCTCCAGGTCCCTGCGGAACTGGTGCAGCTCCCTGGCGGCCGCGAGGCTCCGCCCGCGCTCCCGCAGCGGCTCCCGCAGCTCCCGGAACTGCTGCTCCAGCTCCCGCACCTGCTCCTGCACCCCCGCGCTCCGGGGGTGCCCCGGGCTGAGCCCCCCGGCCTGCGCCCGCAGCGCCCCCACCTCCTGCTCCCGCAGCGCCGCCTGCGTCTCCAGCAGCTGCGGGGATTTGGGGGGTCAGGGACCCCCGGGGGACCCCCCCAAAATCTGCACCCCAAAGAGCCCCCACCTCCTGCTCCCGCAGCGCCGCCTGCGTCTCCAGCAGCTGCGGGGATTTGGGGGATCAGGGAGCCCCGGGAGACCCCAAAATCTGCACCCCAAAGAGCCCCCACCTCCTGCTCCCGCAGCGCCGCCTGCGTCTCCAGCAGCTGCGGGGATTTGGGGGGTCAGGGAGACCCCAAAATCTGCACCCCAATGAGCCTCCACCTCCTGCTTCCGCAGCGCTGCCTGTGTCTCCAGCAGCTGCGGGGATTTGGGGGGTCAGGGACCCCCGGGGGACCCCAAAATCTGCACCCCAAAACCTGAACTCTAAAAGCCACAGCCAAATCCTGCATCACAGACCCGCACCCCAAATCTGCATCACAAAGCATACGCCCAAAAACCCGAACCCCAAAACCTAAACCCAAATCCTGCATCACAAACCTTCACCCCAAAATCTGCACCGTAAGCCTTCACCCCAAAACCTGAGCACCCCAAACCTTCACCCCAAACCTGCTTATCCCAAACCCGCATCCCAGACCCACCCAAAACCCACACCCCAAGCCTGTACGTGAACCCCGCACCCCAAACCTTCACCCCGTCCCCCATAGCCGGCCGCCGCCGCCTCCACCTGCGCCCACAGCGCCCGCAGCTCCTGCCGGGGCGCGGTCACTTGTCCGGCCAGCGCCGGCCGCGCCCGCGCCAGCTGCTCGCCGTCCTGCGGGACACGGGAATGACAGCACGGAGTTACGGGACAGACCCCAGGACCATCAGGGTTGGGCCCAAAAAGTCATGGAGGTGTCAAGGTTGGAATTGTGGAATTGTTGAGGTTGGAGCTGTTTAGGTGTGGGGTGATGAGGATTGGACACGTGGGGTGGTGGGATCGTTGAAACTGGACCCACTGAACCATCAAGGTTGGACCCAAAAACTCATGGAGTTGTCAATGTCAAGGTTGGAATTGTGGAATTGTTGAGGTTGGAGACGTTTAGTTGTGGGGTGATGAGAACTGGACACGTGGGGTGGTGGGATCGTTGAAACTGGACCCATGGAACCATCAAGGTTGGACCCAAAAAGTCATGGAGCTGTCAGTGATACACGGGATCCTTGAGGCTGGCCCAGTAAATTGTGGGATTGTGAAGATTGGACCCATGGGATGGTGAGATCATCAAAACCGGACCCATGGAGCTATGGAATTATAAAGGTTAGACCCACAGAACCACGGAATCACTGAGTTGGACCCGTGGAATCACAGAACTGCTGAGGTTGGACCCATGGAATTTTGTGAATTCTGTGGAATCACAGAATTGCTGAGGTTGGACCCATGGAATTTTGTGACCCAACTCCCCCTCCCATATCCCACCTTTCCCAAGGGCCGGCCCTTCCTGCATCCCATTTCCCCCCCATTTTCTCCCCACTTTCCCTAGTTTTCCCCCGTTTTCCCCCCGTTTTCCCCCGTTCCCACCTTCTCCAGCGCCTCCAGCCAGCCCCGGTTGGCCGCGAGCTCGGCGGCGAAGGCCTGGTGCTTCTGCCACTTGCCCTGCAGGTCCCGCGTGCCCTCGTAGGACACGTCCCGAGCCACCGGCAGCTTCTCGTTCAGCCACAGCGTCAGCTGGGAACGGGAACGGGGACGGGGACAGGAACGGGGACAGGAACGGAATAGGAACGGGAACAGGGACGGGAATGGGCACAGGGATGGGAATGGGAACGGGAACAGGGACACGGGTCAGGATCTCTTCCCACAGCCCCATCCCAGCCCAGTTCTCATCTTCACCCCATCCCCCTTTTAACCCCATCCATCCCCGATCTCCATCCTAATCCCATCCCAATCCCAATCCCATCCCAATCCCAATCCCAATCCCAATCCCAATCCCATCCCAATCCCAACCCCGTCTCACCTCCTGCCCATCCTGCAGGAACTTCTGCAGCTCCCAGTTATCCCGCAGCCGCCCCAGCAGCTCCTGGGCCGATTCCCGGATCTTCTGGTGCCTGTGCCAGGGCCAGGGGGTGTGAGAGACCCCATTCCCAGGGCATGGGACGGACTGGGACAGACTGGGATGGACTGGGATGGGTCTCCCTCACCTGCTCTCCACCGACTCCACCGTCTCCCGCACCTTTTCCACATGGACGCCGCCCTCGTCCAGCAGCTTCCGCCCGGTGTCCGTGAGCGCCCGGACGCGCTCGGTGCCGGTGTCCAGCGCTGCCAGGAACTCCTCCAGCCTCCGCACGGCCGCCTCCGCGCCCGGCACCGTGCCCGGCAGCTCCGTGTGGGCCAGTGTGTGCTCCTGCGAGCCGGGATCGGGATTGGGATCGGGACCGGGACAGCACCGGAGCCCCGGGATCCCCCGGAACACCCCGGATCCCCTCACCTGCTTCCCCAGCGTCCCCTCCACCTGCTTGGCGTCCCGCAGGAACACGTGGAAGGCGACAGCCTGGGCCAGGAGCCGCTGCCGCTTCTCCCACACCCGGCCCAGCTCTTCCCAGTCGGCATCCAGCGCTTCCAGGCGCTGCAGCAGGGACAGGCTCTGCGGGTCCGTCTGTCCCCGCGTCACCTCCCGCCCGGCGGCGCGGGCGCTCCGGTAATCGGCGCCGTAGTGCGAGATCTCGGTGCGGAGGCTCTCGTGCTGCCGCAGGGAGCCCTCGGCTTCGGCCAGGGACGCGGGGACATCCTCGGAGCCCGCGGCCGCGCGGGTGCGGGACAGCCAGGCCTGGAGCGCCGCCAGGTCCCGCAGGAAGCCCTGGAGCCGCCGCGCCTGCCCCAGGGACTCCTCGCGGCTCCGGTGGCACCGGCGCAGCGCGTCCCACTCGGCCTCGAGCCCCGCCAGCTCCTCGCGGATCTCGGGCGCTCGCTCCGGCTGCTCCCCCTGCAGCTTCTCGCCCTCGGCCCGCAGCTCCCGCAGCTTGCCCTGGATGGCGTCCAGGTCGCGCCCCATCCCCGACAGCTTCGCCTGCAGCGCCGTGATCCCCGCCAGGTCCCGGCCCAGCCCCCGCGTGGCCTCGATGGCCGCCGTCTTCTCCCGCATCCAGCCCCGCGTCTCGTGGCATTCCAGGCGGAAATTGTGGATGTTCAGCGCCGCGGTCAGCGCCACCTTCTTGCGCTCGGCCAGCGCCCGGAACCGCTCCCACCTGGCACGGGCGGGATCGGGGCACGGTGGGACAGAGCCCGGGGAGCGCCCGGGGCGTCCCGGCCCAGAGAATCCATCCCTGGAACGTCCCAGCCCAGAGAATCCATCCCTGGAGCGTCCCAGCCCAGAGAATCCATCTCTGTACATCCCAGCACAGAGAATTCATCCCTGGAGCATCCCAGCCCCGAGAATCCATCCCTGGAGCGTCCCAGCCCAGAGAATCCATCTCGGTACATCCCAGCCCAGAGAATCCATCCCTGGAGCATCCCAGCCCGGAGAATCCATCCCTTCCCAGAGCATCCGGCCGGGAAAACTCCTCCCTGCATCCCTGGAGCATCCCTGACTGCCCGGAGAACCCACCCCCGCCTGGAGCGCCTGGAAAATCCATCCCTGCCCGGATCCACGCCCCGTCCCTGCCCGGAATGGCCCCGCCGGGCCCGTCCCCACCTGTCCCGGAGCTGCTCCCAGGTCTCCCGGGCGCTCTCCCGGTTCCTGTCCCCGGATCCCTGCAGCTCCTCCGTGACGCGGCCCACGGAGGCCACGCGCGCCGCCAGCGCCGCCAGCTCCGGCTCCAGCGTCTCGAACCTGCGGGAGCGCCGGGAATGACCGGGAATTCCGGGAGTGCCGAGACGGAGCTGGGAATTCAGGGAAGGCTGGAAACCTCAGCAACACCGTGCCAGAGGTGGGAATGCCACAAACCCTGGGAATGCCACAAATTCTGGCAGTACTGCGCTGGAGGTGGGAATTTAGGGAATTTTGGGAGCGCTGGGAATACGGTGTTGGAGGTGGGAATTTTGGGAATGCTGGGAATATCTCAGGTCGAGGTGAGAATTGAGGGAGTACAGGGAATGCTGTGTTGGAAGTGAAAATTCTGGGAAAACGGGAACACCAGGAACACTGGGAATGTTGTGGTGGAGGTAGGAATTCAGGGAATACCGGGAATAATGGGAATACTGGAGACATCCTGAGGAAAAACGGCAATAACGGGGTATTCTTGGGAGGATTCCTGGGGGAATCCCAGTGGGGGCGGCCACGGGCACCCCGGGACTTCCCGGGAATAATTCTGGGAATAATTCTAGGATTCCCACGGTGCAGCACGGGGAGCCCCGGGCGCTCACCGCTGCTGCACCACCTCCAGGTCCTCGATCCGCTCGGGAATCTCCATGGAGAGCAGCCACTGCTCCCTCTCGCCCACCCAGAGCGCGCAGGCATCGGCCTCGCTGCGCGCCGCGAACAATCCCAGCGCGTCCCGCAGCTCCAGGCGCCGCAGCTCCGCCCGCTCCTCCAGCTCCCGGTGCCGCCGCTCCAGCTCCGCCAGCCGCTCCGCCAGCCCCGGCACCACGTCGGGAACGTCGGCGGCATCTCCGGGCAGAGCCTGCTCCCGCAGCGCCGCCAGCGCTGCCCCGCGCCGCCGCAGCTCGTCCTGCAGCTCCCGCAGCCGCCGCTCCAGCATCCCCGCCGAGCGCTCGTCGTGCCCGAGCTCCGGCCCCGCCACTCGCCGGGCGGCGGCCGCCAGCCACGCC